TTTTTTTTTTACTTTTTGCTTTTACTATAATACTATGTTAAAAACGAAAAACGCAATAAAAAAATTTAACTCCGCAATTGTGTAAACCAATTTTTTCAATCCCTGTGCAGAAATTGGATAATACTCTTCTACAAATGAAAAAATTGAAAGCTTCGTGTGATTATCTTTAAAAATAACGAAGTTTTAAAAGTTTTATTAAAAATTTAAGTATTTTTTGAAAAATCGTAAAAAAAAAAGTTTTCGTCATTTTATTTTTTAAATAACTGATTCTAAATGAGAAAAGTTTGAACTATATTAGTGCTAAATATTGATTCATTAACACGAGCAAAACAAAAAAAAGAAATTCATACGGAACAATTTAGAAATCCTTTTCATGAAAACGCATCAATTTTGTCTCATTTTAGAAAAATTCGTAAAAAATCGAAGTTATCTTTATTTTTTAAAAAGATTTATACTGTATAGTGGCAAAATAAATAATCTTATTATAAAGAATTTTAATTAATATCTTTTTAACTAATTGCAATATTAGAATATAAATAATCAAAACATGCATTGTCATCCAAATTAACGTGTATACAAAAATTCAGTTTGGTCGGTTGAAGGCATCAGCTTCAAATTTGAGTTGTACGATTCCACCCGAGCATTTTACACTGCTAGTTAATTAAAAGTTTGTAATAATATACAAATTTTCAGCTTAATCGGTTGAAGACATCAGCTACAAAATTTCGTTCCAAGATTCCACCTGAACATTTTGCATTGCAAAATAATAAAAAGCTTGTAAGAAACTGTAAAAAAAACGTGGAAATTTAAATTTGATCAAAAGAAATAATTTTCGAAGGAAAATTAAAGTGGTTCAAAGTAAATTTAAAAATTGCGATCTCCCGGGAATCAAGCCCGTAAATTCATTTAAAAACAACTTAATCACTACGCCACAAGGGGTGGTATAAAGAGGAAAAGTAAGCTTCTAACATGGATAAACATTTTTTAATCAATATCTTTTAAACTTATTGCGATATTGGAATATAAATAATCAAAACACGCATTGTCATCCAAACTAAACGTGTATACAAAATTTCAGCTCAATCGGTTGAAGACATCAGCTCTCTCTCTCTCTCTCTCTCTTCAAAAAGGAGTTGCAATATTCCACCCGAAAAAATTAATTTAATTAATATATTTTTATCTAATTGCGATATCGGAATATAAATGGTCAAAACATTCGTTGTCATCCAAACTAAACGTGAATACAAAATTTCAGTTTATCAGTTGAAGGCATCAGCTTCAAAATTGAGTTGCAAGATTCCACCCGAACATTTTACATTGAAAGTTAAAGGAAAGCTTGTAATGTAGCATACTTTGTACGTATACAGGGTGGAAGTATTGTAAAATATATCGTTGTACAAATCAAACGTATTTCAAAAATATTTTACGAGAAAAACTAACAATTGGAGGCGCGAGGTATCGAACCCCGTACCTCTCGCGTGCTAAGCGAGCGCTCTACGAATTGACCTACGCTCCCAGTCGTCACATGTGTTATAGTAAACATTTTCGCCTTAAAACCTGAACAAGATCGTTACAGTAACTAAGTCGATATCGGAATATAAATGGCAAAACATGCATTGTCATCCAAACTAAGCGTGTACACAAAATTTCAAATCAATCGTTTGAAGACATCAGCTCTCTCTTCAAAATTGAGTTGCTAGATTCCACCCGAACAAGATATTTAATTAATTACTTTGTAACTAATTGCGATATCGGAATATAAATGGGCAAAACATGCATTGTCTTCCAAACTTGACGAGTATACAAAATTCTAGCTCAGTCGGTTGAAGGCATCAGCTCTCTCTCTTTAAATTAGCTTTGCAAGATTCCACCCGAACATTTTACAGTGCAAGTTAATAAAAAGCTTTTAAAAAAAAAGTATAAAAACAGTACACATGGTTATCTTTCACATTGTTAGGTAAAAGGCAAAACTAATATCCCTTCTTCCCTCAAAAAATATTTACCGTTCACACATTAGATTTAAAATTTTAAAATGGAGACACGCCTCTAACATTCGGTGAATTTTCATAATTAATTTACTTATTAATGCTAGTAAGACTTTACTCTGATTTTGTAGTTTGGGATACGAGGAGCAAGAAAAAAGCTTATTTTTGTACTTATTTTCTTTCGAATGTTTTAAAACTGTACGTGAATTTATTATTAAGTATATATATATAATTAATATTTATATATAAAATTATCGAATAGTTCCTTTTCAAAATATCCGTACTTTCACCATCAACGTTATTCTGGTAGAGAGATGGATGCTTTGGTTTATATCTTTGCAAATACAATACATCCAGATCAATCGGCTAGCTTGATAGCATTTCAATGTATTCATTTTATATTTTTTATAGTAACACCACTTATTCAGTTTCGAGCAGTGAGTTCGAGACACTGCAGCTTCAAGTGGACTCCGGCCGTCTCGAACGTAATATGTATTGAGTGTTTTGTATTATCCTTTTGTACTAAATTTAGCGCAAATACACTATAATTTTAATGTAGGATAGTTCCCTGCTGTCCACTTTTAATTCTGACAACTCCATTACATTCATGAGAAGTGTCTATTTCCTCCACGCCCTATCAACTACAACAGCTTTGCCTTCATCATTTATTGGATTTCTTTTTCTATTGCAACAAGAAAGTGTCATTACATATGTATATACAGACTATCCAAAAATAGCACATCAAACTCTATACAGCCAGATTCCTCATTGTGAGTACATAAAAATACCCATAAAACTGTATCAGTACAATCAAAAGTTTACGAGAAAAATACGGTAAATGATGCTGATGAGAATTATTGATGATACATGATGGTTCACATGATCAGATTTTTTGTGCTCCTCTTCGTAATTGGTTGAATATAGCATATCCCAATCTCTTGATTGGATGTAGGGGTCGGGTTCTATGGCCACCACGAAAACCAGACATCACAGCATTGGAGTTTCTACCAATGGCCTGATCTCAAGGAAATGGTTTATTTAGAGTCAGTGACTACACAAACGGACTTGGTTGTTCGTCTGCATGCTGTTTGGTGGACACCGCAATGTTGCGATGTATGCACTCATTCATTCCAAGGTGATCTTCAATGTGTATGGACGACCCTTTGAACATTTGTCATTGTAAATATTTGCAATTACTGCTGACGATATGTCTAATATGGTGTTTTTTTCTTGAACTAGCATGCTTTGTTTTTCGTATTTTTCTCGTAAGCTAAGATCGTACAGGTACTTTTCTTTGGACGTTATTATTGGAACACCCTGTACTGGCACCTTAAAATACCTTGTTGTATTGAGAGAACTTTATTACTGAAGGTGAAAAGTTCATAAATTCACAAAGCATTCGAGAATCTTCTATATCCATTTCTAAGCACACCATTAGGTAAAACAACATTGTGTTTCTTTTATAGATGTTTGATTTTTCAATTTCAGATGAATTCTTTTTAGATGAATACAATTTAAAGAGATAATTATAGGAATCCCACTTTATGTGAAACTAAGAGAAGCTCGATCTGAAAGGATTTCTTCACAGAAATAATTTAGTCCAGTTGCTCCAAACTGTAAGCATTTCACTATTCATAAAACACAATAACACACATATTTAAATACATAACAGTTTTTTAAATCGACTTCTTAACTTATTTTCATATAAGGGCTTGAAATCACTAATCTGTTTTGTTCCAATTTGAAAATATTGACAATTTTAGAAGCGAAAGCATGATACGACATTGTTAAACTAACTTTGATTACTTGGATTACTTTTAGTTACTTTTACCCTTGTCGTGTTTGAAATATACTTTGTACCTCCTGAGAAATCCTGTCCAGTATATGTAGGCATTTTAGATAGAAAAAACAATATAAAATATTTCAATAATTAAGTTAGAAAGAGTTATGCAGATCTAATCGCTGTAAAAATAATTCGTATGCAGCAAACAGTTTTCAAAATACTCTTTTTATCGGAATGCATAAGACGTACAGTCAATTCATTACATATATGATTTGCGAAAATACTACGAACAAATATATCAGCACTTATGTCAGAACGTAATTTTGGGAGAAAGAGAGCAGGTGTCTACAACATGAAACTGCAAAAAAGCGTTGTCGTCCCTTAATTTCAAGACTGATTCTAGGATGTTTATCGTTTTTCTTTCCTGAATTTTTCACTTCCCTATGTTTGCCGGCTGGGTGGCGTAGTTGGTTAGATGCTGGCCTTGTACGTCCAAGTTTGAAGGCTCGAACCCGGCCTAAATTGGTGAATTTTAATAATTAAAAAAATCCACAGCGTCCATTTCATAAAATGTTAAAGATCCCTAGAATGCGTGGTTGGCTTGGGAGCTCTCGGAAAAATTACTTTTAGCGAAAGCTTGTATGGTCAGAGCTCAGGCGCCTCCCTCTGGGAAAGAAAATGGGCGTCAGAATTACATTATGCATTTCGTCACTACCTATATGGTGCTCGACTAAAAAGTGATACCATTTCTGGGGAATGCATTAGGTCTGCAATAATAATTATTAACCACTAATCCACTATGATAATTACTAATCTCAGTTTAAAATAAAAATAAATTTAAAGTAAAAAAACTTTTTTAAAAACAAACTTTTATTTAAATGCTCTAAAAAGAATAAAACAAACTTTTCTTTTAAAACTTTTAATGCTATCAAATTATAATGTCATTACACAATTTATAATATAAAAGCTTGTCGCGAGATTTAAGTACTCGTATTTACTAAGTTTGAAAATTTTAAAAATTAAAATCAATCAGATCAAGTTCTTTAATTTGTTTGTTTATCTACACAGGTAACTCTCACGACGAGCTTTTATATTATAAATTGTGTAATGACGTTATAAGTTGATAGCAAAAAAAGTTTTAAAAGAAAAAATTATTTTATTCTTTTTAGAGCATTTAAATAAAAGCTTGTTTTTAATTTTTTTTTAACTTTAAATTTATTTTTTACTTTTTAGTTATCACTGTACAGGTTTCTCAGTCTGTTCATCACATTCAACGCATCATTGTTGCAAGGTCATCTGCCGGTTAATTTTGAATAGTCTAGCTCTCTATCTCTCTCTCTCTCTCAAGGGCACTTAAGTCTTCTTTTCCGTCAGACAACGTTTATGTTATAGATATTTCATTTGGGCCGCAACAAGTGAATAATGGGAGGGGAGATAACGCTGTAAGACCAAAACAACATTGGGCAAAGCAAAATTTATAAAAATATTAAAACTCATCTTTTTATTTGCTTTAACTATAATACTGTACTAAAAATGAAAAACACAAAAAAATTTTTTAATCAATTTGTTGCAATCATTGTGCAGAATTTGGTTAATACTTTTTTACAAACGAAAAAATGTGTGTGTGTGTTTCATGCGATTATCTTTTAAAATGACGAAGTTTTTAAATGTTTTATTAAAAATTTAATTAATTTAAAAAAAAGTTTTCGGCATTTTATTTTTTAAATGCCTGATACTAAAAGAGAAAAGCCTGAACATTCTTAGTGCAAAATATTGACACATTAACACGAAAAAGAAATTCATATGGATCAATTTAGAAATCATTTTCATGAGAACGCATCGATTTTGACTCATTTAAAAAAAATCGTAAGGAGTAGAAAATATTGTTTTCTTTAAAAAAAATAAAAATTTGTACCATATCGTGGCAAAATAAATGATCTTTCCGATTATGTAAATATTTTTTGTCTAAGTTTGATAGAAAAAATAAGATGGATTTTTAAAAAAGGTCGAAAAATTCAAATTCTTTAAGCTCAATCCAAAAAGCTGTTAAGCAGAACAAAAGCTAATAGGGGTAAAATGTTTTTAATTAAAAACTTTTTATCTAATTGCGATATCGGACTATAAATAGTCAAAACATGTATTGTCATCCAAACTAAGCATGCATACAAAATTTCAGCTCCATCGGTTGAAGACATCAGCTTCAAAATTGAGTTGTAAGATTTTAACCGAACAAATTAATTTCATTAATATATTTTAACTATTTGCGTTATCGGAATATCAATAGTGAAACAGGCATTGTCATCCAAACTAAACGGCCGCGGTAGCCGAGGGGTATAGGTATCGGATCGTGGCTTGCCTTGCCACGAGTTCGAGCCCAACACCATTAAAGACCCGCCGTGTAGGGAAGCGATGCATGTTAAATCTGTCGAGAGCTGAAACTTTCTCTCGTTGGTGTGGTGTGGGAGTTAGGAGAGTGGGTGCCAGCTCAGGTGTCGTCCACGTCACTTAAACATGGTTCAAAATTACGTGGTCCGTAGCCAAAAGCCCTCGTGTAGCTGAACAGTGTGACGTTAATATTCAATAAATCAATCAATCAGTCATCCAAACTAAACGTGTATACCAGATTTCAGCTCAATCGGTTGAAGACATCATCTTCAGAATACAGTTGCAAGATTCCCCCGAACATTTCGCATTGTAAGTTAAATAAAAAAAGCTTGTAATAATAATATAGCATATTTTGTACGTTAC